GTAAACCTGTGTGCTTATTACAGTAAACACAGCAGTCTGTTCTGTTTGACTAAACTGATTTATTGTGTGTCTGTAGTTGTGTTTTGAACTGTGCTAGGCTCGTCTGTGTCCCCGTTTCACAGAACAGCATCTTCAAGACGGCACAAATGCTTCCAATGTTTCAGTTTGATGAAGACTGGCTTTGCCCATCGCTGCTTTTAAAACAGTGTTTGTGCTGCCAAGGACAGCTTGTATTGGTCTCATGTCATGAATGGGAGTGTTTCAGGAGGCAGATTTAACCTTTGATGAGTTTGGTGTCTTAATTGAGGAATAAAAGGACACGAAGAACAAACTAAAGAGAATCTAAAAGAGGCCGGCAGCACATGAGGAGGAGAAACTGACAATGACATAAAGATTGAGGGAAGGACAGAGCCATTTATACACCTGAGGTCATCACAGGAGGGTCATGTGACACAGCTGAAACTTATCTAGACAACATCTGACACCAGAGACCATACTTACCAAAATAAAACAGGTTATAATGAACAACCATGAGTGGAAGAGCGGAGTGAACTGAGCAACAGGAGGGAGGCCATTTCTCCAAAACATGTGTCCATCAGAATTATGGACAGTTGTGTATAATAAGTAGACTTGTTCAGATTGGTCTAACACTTTTGTCTGTCAGTGTTTTACAGAATATCATCAAAGAGTCATGATAGTGACCATTAGTGTCACTGTGGAGATGCTTATTCCAGCATCACTGACTTCATGGTTCCAGTTTCCATCACTAAGGACTACATGTACTGATGCTGCTGTTAGCCATCTTAGCATGCTACCTCCAACAGGTGGGCAGTGGGAGAGCAGAAGATGATATCAGTGACATCCAAACAAGGAAGGAAGAGACTGTTGAAGGCAGCAAGCTGTGACTGCTGTGAACAGTGTTCTCACACTATTCTTTCCCTGTGTCAACATACATGAGGCTGTTTCAGCTGCTTAGTTATTCAGTGCAACACACCACGAACTCCTTTATACAACTAAGTATACTGAGAGCACACTGCTGTGGTTGCTGTGGGAACCATCCATATATTCAGCTGTTTTGGGGCCGAGTCTGCTTCCTCATCCTTGGAAAAAACTCTTAAAGTTTGATGTGTTTTTGACTTGAATTGTGGGGATTATATCATTTCTATATTATGTTTATTTTTATATCCTGTTATTAAGCTTTGAGCAGCGGCATTTGATTAAACAATTATTACATTTATTAATCATACAGTTTCAATCATGTTATTACACCTATTGGAAAATGTGCTTACAAAGGAGTTGGCCTTTTGTCTGGTAAGAGGTTACAAGCTTTATCTGGTGAGGTAATAGGTGAGAAAGAGTGCAGTGAGGTCGTGACAGCTTGCTTGCGTACACAGACATTATATAGACACATTTCTAGGTTAGAGTTAAGACGTATTTTGCTTGTAACTGCATTTTGTGCCTGCATAAGCAACAGTTTTTTGTAGGATGTGCTTCTGATGTTCCAGAGATAAGCGAGAATAAGAAGATCAACAGGAAGCACCTGGCGTGGAGACGGAGAAATGTTTTTTTGAGTGTGCGTCAAAGGTTGTCAACAGAAAAGCTGTGGTTACTGAAACTTATGCATGTTATGTATCTGCTTTGACGCATGAGGGGGCGTGATACCCTGACATTTAAAAACATTTTAAGTATGCTTTTTTGGGGGACTTATGCTGAGGATTGTGACGGTGTATTTCCTCCACACGTGTGTTTAATAAAATCATTGTTTTGACACACTTGGACCTGTGGTCATCTGTCTCTCACCTCAATCACGAATTCGGGACAGATGTGTGCCAAAATTGGCCTTTCTGTACATCGTCTACATATTTATTTATTAACAGTACTGTTATTTTTCACTGTTTCACTTTAGAAACATAAATCTTTACAAAGACAGTGTTGGGGAGTAACAGAATACATTACATACATTACGTATTTTAAATACAAAATATGAGTATCTGTATTCAGTTACTGTTTAAAAAGGTGGTATTCAGAATACAGTTACTTTGTTGAAATAAATGGATTACACAGTGATCTTTTCCTGTTTCATATGTTAGGCTATGTCCTCTCTATTTTTGGTAATTTTATTTTTAGATACCACACACACACACACACACACACACACACACACACACACACACTCCATGTTCTTCCTGGTTCTCCCTGCTCTGTTTTCCAGTATGTGATAGAAATATGCCAGCATTAGACAGCATCACTTTCTCTGGGACCTAATCCTTGCCTCGCTGAAAGCTGTTTATATAATTACCCATTCTCTTTAAAAGATGGGATGAGGGAGCCCTGTGCGTCTGTGCATGAAAAAGTCTGCATGCGTGTGAGAGAGTGAATGAGAGACAGGCGAGTGACTTGGCTTAAACAGATGAGTTAAGTATATGGAATCAAACAAAAAGACAATCAGCACTGGGACCAAAGTTAATGGTATTTTGTACCACTGGGTATTTAAATTTAGTAATTCCACGCCAAAGCCCACTGATCAATGACCATGAGTACCATTCACAGAGAGTTGGGGAATGGCTGCTTTAATAGCACTGTAAGATGGTGAAGGATGTACCAAAAAGTCAAAGGAGCTTGCTAAGAAAAGCGTCTGGACTTCTTTAAGTTGCTTGAAGACGTTTCACCTCTCATCCGAGAAGCTTTTTCAGTTCTAAGGTCAAATGGTGGGGAGTCCCAGATTTGAACCTAGAGGGAGTAACCCCCCCGATGATCCTCTAATCACCTGAGCCAAGGTGTGAAACTGGGTGTGGGTCCCAATCAGCCAGGGAGAGGAGGTGAAAGGTGAAACGTCTTCAAGCAACTTAAAGAAGTCCAGACGCTTTTCTTTGCAAGGTCCTTTGACTACGATGACCTGGATGACTGAGAACCTTCACAGACATATTTAAAATAAAGACTTCCCCAAATAGGAGCACTAAGGCAAAAGGAAAACCACAAGTGTTTCAATTTGAGGGGTCTCTA